AGATCAGTAGGCACAGTTTAAGCCTGCAAAGAGTCAGCTGTAAATCGAAAGGGAATAAAAAAAGATATGGAGAGCCATCTTCTATTATAAAATGAATCGCATCAAGAATTTGTAGGCTAAGAGTGTGTTAGAAGGGTGAGATTTTATCTCCCAGCAAAAAGCCACACTTTTGCTATCAGAAAGGACATTATTTAATGAAAATTTAACACAATTCTGCATATCAGAAAGCCTTTCTGAAAACAGGACAGTATCCCTTTACAAAATATAGGGTTCATCACCATATTTTTTGAACTCACCACCAGATCTAAATCTTCAGTTCCATCCTAACCCTTCATCAAAATCAAGTCTGGGCTAAGGGTTTATATTTCAGATAGTAGGATGAGTTCTGCTGCTTCCCACTACATTTAAACTTTGCAGATTAATAAATTGTCTAAAAAAAATTAATAGTCAGGTATTGGATTTGTGTTCAATAGAGATGATTAATGGCAATTCCAAATTCAGCTCTTCTTGCAAGACTTAAGAGGCTGGATTCCACCTGCAGGGATGTCCTATTAGATTCAGTTTCTGGACAGCTGTGTTCTAAATTCTCTGGAAGTTATGTCTTCTTGTTATGTGTGTGTGACTTTTTTTTAAGGTTTTTGTTTATTTGTTTGTTTGTTTTCCCCCCATTATTTATTGATGTTTGAGGAAACTGACATTTATTCTTTAGATACACTCTTTCATTGTTATTGTTAGAGAGTGATGAGGTGCTGGAACAGGTTGCCCAGAGAGATTGTGGATGCCTCTCATTCCTGGAGGTGTTCAAGGCCAGGTTGGATGGGGCTCTGGGCAACCTGGTCGAGTATTTGCTCTAGCAGCTGGCAGTCCTGCCTGTGGCAAGGTAGTTGGAACTTGATGATCCTTGAGGTCCCTTCCAACCCAAGCCATTCTATGATTCTATTCTATGATTCTGTGATCGTTAAACCTTCTTCCAGAGTAATTGAAAATCTTTTTGAGTTTAAACTAATTTGCAGAAAAGATCTTCAGTCTATGTAAGTTGTAAACCATTGTGTTGTCCCTGAATGTAGGTCCAAGACACTTGGCAGGCCTTTGTTAAAATGGTATAATCCTAGTAACTTCATAAATAGATAGACCTGCTTAAAAGTGCTCAATTTCAGATAACATTGTTACTTATAATGTAGCTGTTTCTCTTTGCTTATTGTTTATAGTGGGAACTCTACTTGCATCTCAGATATGGACTCTTTTAATACCTGGTATTAGCTCCATAGGAAAGTAAAGAGGTGTGAAAAGGATATGGACTGAGGGAGGGAGCATTTAGAACTCAGAAGAGGAACCGATAAAGCTGCAGAAATAATGAGTGAATTTACGTTGTGTCATGTTTTCTTATTCATGTGAACCTCTTGGTGATTTGATCTTTTGCTGCCATACTCTTTGGTATTTACTGTCCTTTTGGAAGTCATTTTCAATTGAAGTATTTAGTTATTTTTAAAAAATCTTACATTTTCTTGTGGAAATTTCCCAGATGTTCCTAAGGAATAATTTCCACGAATGCGTGATGTTTGTGTCTGGTGTTAAAGGTGATGATGGGATTTCTAAAAGCATAGATTTTGCCTGGCTCAGGTTGGCTCTGGATAGAACTAGCTAGAAAGCAAATTGCGGTCATTGCCGGGGCTGCGTGACCCTCATCTGGTGCTGTGCCACTGCTTCTTCAAGTGTCCTGGTCACCTGGGAAGCAAATTGGATCAGTAACTTGGCTTTTTAGACACTTTAGCAATTTCTCAGCCTTCTAGCATTATGATGGCCATATGATTTGTAATATAAGCAGGATCTTTTAAGAACTGTGTGAGGAAGGAGAAAGCTGCTGCTTCCCTGCTTCCTTTGCTGGTTTTTACTATGACCTGCAGACCCATAGGTTTTACTTCTAGATCATAAACATAATCGTCTCGTTTTTCCCTGTAAAAATGTCTGTCATTTTGGGAACAGGTGATGAGCAGAAGGTGATGACAATCTGGAGCGCATTTACTGAACGCTGTATGGGAAACCATATATGCACTGATAAAGTTAGCAGAAGAGTTTTACTTTAACAAGGTGGTCAAACTCCTTTTGTGAAGCCATGTGGCAGAATCTGTGGTTGTTTGGGGTTCTCAACTCAAACAGCAACTCAACTCTCAACTTCTCAACTTGGGTACAGAGTATATCCAAGGGCTGCTCCAAAAGTAATACCTTCTACCTTATTCTGTTGGCTCACAACACCAGAGGTGGTGACATGGCAGTAGAAGTTGAACCTTCCCACCCATATCCCATTACATTTTGTTGCCATGTGACAGATGGCAGCAGAGGGGCAGTCTGACAGAATGACGCCTGATATGGAAGTGCATGTGAAGCAAAGGGATGTCACTATATTCCTCCATGTGGAAAAAAAATGGCACCCACTGACACTCATCAACACTTGCTGAATGTTGATGGAGTCCAAACAGTGGATGTGTGCACAAGTAGGTGGTGGGTGATGGCTTTCAGCAGTGGTGACAGCAATGTGAAAGACAAGACACATTCTGGACACCCCTGCACAACAGTCACAACATGAAATGAAGAGTATCTTGATCAGTTCATCCATGCAAACCAGCTAATGGTGGTGTCTATGTTGCAAAAGAGTGTTCTGTAGCTGAGAATTTGCTCTATCGAATAGTGTTATTGTGCTTTTTGTATCTCCTGTAGCTTCCATGGAAATAAATGCAAGGCATTATTTTCAGAGTGACCTACGTACAAGTCTTCAGTACCACAGAGGGCATCCTTTCTCTTTGTTTCATTGTCAGAGTGAATTGCAGTGAAGGATTTGGTAGATAGCTTACAATGCTTTTAGACATCTTATCAAATATAAGTGTCTTAAAATATAGAACATAACTATGCAGTAATTGACTAATGATTTTGTGTCTCTCCCTTTTTGTTTGCCAAAATTGAGACAACTGTTTAGTGCTGATTTTGTAAAAAGCCAAGCCAGTGTTGAAATGAGTAACCAAAATGTTATACTCAAAATTAATAGAAAATGTGTTTCTTGGTGCAGTGCAGAATGTGAATAATTCATGTTAACTTCAGGGTGGTGTTCTATGTTTTCTGCAATAGAAAAGCTTGGGATCTGCCATGCCAAACATTAGCTGTAAAATGCTGAATTCAGTGGGCTAGTAGAGAACTGCCAGTAAGAGCGTATCTGTGATCTCTGTCTTTATACATATGCTTCTCTGCAGACACGTAGGTGGGGAAGCCTAGAAGACAGAATTCAGGTAGGATGTATGAAGTGTTAGTCTGTTGGACTAAGTCAAACATTAATAGAAAATACAGATTGCTTCTCTCGGTACAGGCAAAAGGTGGTGTTCAGAAGAACAGGCGATGTGCAGCTGAGTTTAGGTTCTGGTAGAGATTTTTTTTTATTATTTTCTTTTTTTTTTTCCCTCTTTTTTTTTTTTTTTTAATATAATCTAACTTGGCTCGGGAGGCAAAGCACAAAATGAGATCATTAGAAACAAAATAAGTCCTAACAAAGGGCTGTTTAAAGTCACTGTTTGTTTTCAGACCCAGTTGACTGCTGCTAAGAACCATTTCGTGCTCAATATGCCAAATCGTATGGACATGCTCCACCTCACAGCAGCCCCACACATGGTTCAAGAGGCTGCTGGGCTTTTGAAATGCAGCCCTTTAACTGTGAAGTGGAAAATCAAAATGGGGTAATTAGAATCATAAATGCTAGATTTTTGAGGAGGAACAGTATTACTTCAGCCTGCCTTTTCAGCTTTTATGTACAATAGTCTTCAGTTTCCTTGTTCATAACCTCTTCTTTTCCATTGAATATTTCTCATTTTTCTTTCTTTTCTTCTATTGACCACGTCTGCAGGATTTCTTACTTTTCATTCCACTCCTTATTGCAGATGCCCCAGCTTAGCACAGAGGCCCATTATGCCATCCGTGCACATACCCCGATTTTCATGAACAATGTTGCTGTAATTAATCCCAGAAGTCTCTTGCATTTTAATACCTCACTGGACCCCTCTGTTTTGAAACCCAAGCAGGAAGTGTTCCGGGTTGTCTTGTAAGATTTTCAGTGGTTCTTGGTTTGGGTGAAAACTTTTTCCGATAAGGATTCTATCGGTGCTCCTGAAAGGTGAATCTTACCAGACAATCTCAAAAAATGTGAACAAGGGGCTTGAATTTTGAGCCAAGATTTTTGTGTGATTTTTATTACACGTGCTCTGTGCATCTCCCTTGTGTGTCCTTTTATATATACATGGATTACTGTTCCGTGTGTGTTTTTCTGATCTGACTATGGGTAGGAAGTCCCAGATATCTTGACAAGTCCTCATTCACTCAGTAGAGCCCTGAATTTGTGTTGTCAAAAAGCTTAGATTATTAATGTCCAAATGTTTAATTGCTTAATTATCCCAGATCTGTGAACCTGAAAAGATTCTTTCAATGTGATTATAACACTCCACCGTTCACACGAGTGAATTTTTATAAACACAGACATTTTGACTTGACAGCAAGCTATTTTATCTTATTTAGTTACATTGTTTTATTTCCTAATTTTATTTTATTTTGATATTTCATTTTTTAAGTTAAATATATGCAGAGGGTTATTCCTTTAAAGCTAAGTTGACAATAGCTTGTGTCTTATAGTCTCTTGCAAATGCAAAACCAGATGGGTATTTTTTTAAAAGGAATTGCATTTCATTATGCAGTCTTCTTAGGTGAATTTTCATGTTTAAGAAGCCAGAATACAGGAGAGTGCTATATTAGTGTATTATTCTCACAACAAACAAGCCACTGTTCAGTTGCTACCTGCTTGGCCATTGTTCCCAATTGTGTATGCTTTGCAGTGGTATTTGGATGGTTTCCTGCTCTCTGCCAGCACAAAAAAGGCATTTCTGTTACAATGGCCCCTAACCACACAATGATGGCATTAAGGATTTATTTGGAGGTTTCATTATTTTCTCCTCTTTTGTTCCTTCCAGGATGTCTTCCAAGCGACCAGCCTCTCCGTATGGGGAAGCAGATGGAGAGGTAGCCATGGTGACAAGCAGACAGAAAGTGGGAGAAGAGGAGAGTGACGGGCTCCCAGCCTTTCACCTTCCCTTGCATGTGAGTTTTCCCAACAAGCCTCACTCTGAGGAATTTCAGCCAGTTTCTCTGCTGACGCAAGAGAACTGTGGCCATAGGACTCCCACTTCTCAGCACAACACAATGGTAGGTTTGCTAATGGTCTATTGTGCTTACATCCATTCTTTGAATTCTGCCTCTACAGTAGTTTGGCATCCAGCTCTGAACTTTATGGAGTATACAATGCATAGTTACACATAGAGAACACGCTACAATTATGTGAAAGCTCTGACCTAGCTGGACTGTCTTACCCTCTGCTACAAATGCTAAATCACTCTGCTTTTCCTCACCTTTGCCTGCTGGCATTTAGAGTGCTAAAATTTTTTAGCTACATCAATGTGAATTTGAAGTGTGTGTGTTCAGCAAACAGTAAATGGTTTTGGAACACTGTAAGTGAGAGTCATGTTTGGCATGGTGTCTGAAATATCACCCCAGTGCCAAGTTTATGCAATAGTAAGGCACAAAAGTCTGTAAAAGGGTAAGAAAAAAAGAAACTTTGGATTTTGTTGTTTTTAAAAAATTAAGTCTGATAGGTATTTTACAAGCAACACATACAAGAAAATTGGTGATGTTTACAGAAGTAAATCAGCCTACCACTGTTTCATGTGTGAGTTACCAGCATTTTTGTGCACTTTACAAATGACACTGTGGACTTAAGTCACTACGTTTAGCAGCCTGCTGGAAGTCTAGAGCTGGCTTTATCTAAAAGCAAACAAGAAGGATGAGAAAGCAATACCACGTTCCCCTTTGGTAGGGCAGCGTCACTACTGCAAGGTTAGACCTCTAATGTCACGTACTGTGATACATTTTAATAAGGTTGAAAAGTGTAGGGAAAGGAATTGAAACTCCAGGACTTAGGCACCTTAACCGAGATAACCTGTATGAACATACTTATGCAGCTCTTGTCTGTTTCCAGATTGACTGCAACTTTTCTGTTAGTCCCCTACTTCAACAAGGGCACTGACAATTTCATTTTAAGTGAAGATAATGAATGGACCTGCATATTTGAAGGCTTTTAACAAGGCATCACCAAATAGGTGATGGTGTGTTCTCATAAAAGCCTGCAACAGCTCCATAGTGGTATTTAAGCCCTTACAGCTCGTTATGCATCTGTAAAGGCCCTACATAAAAAGCCTTAGAGATTTTCTCTCATAGGACCAAGCCAGTGGATATTCAATGAAGTGGCTCTTCTGGACAAAATAATTCACTCATCTCAATCCATTTTTCTTCCTCTTTGGTACAGTGCTTAAGTTCAAACAATGGCTTAGAGTAGATTTTTTTCTTATTTTTTGGTGTTATTGTAACTTCATATGAATAAAGAACACTGTTCGGAAAATTACTCATGGACAGATGTCATTATCTTTCTCTAACTTTCTTGCTTCTGATCCTTTATCATGTTTATCAGTGTTTTATGGAGATGTAATTTGTAAATACACAATTCAAGCCACTGAGGTGTTGGAATATGTAATTGGTACATGAGCTTTGCTGTATTTTGGCTTGTTTTAAGAGAGTATTTTAGAGGCCGTTCCTGTAAGCACTTAAGTCAATAGAAGAACTTGTCATGACGACAGGAGGGTAGAATCAGATCCTAATGAGATAAAACTTCATTGTCTGCTAAGGAGGCGTATTCTAGCTACGCCTCAGTGAAACGTTTAACTACTCTTTAACTGATTTTAACCAGCTTTTCTGTTCATTTATAGTTTTTAAGACCAAGAAGTTTAGCTGATCATCTAGTGTGAAGACTATATTTTATGTGATGTTAAAACAGCGCACTGTGTCTCTTCGTAATACAAAACACTGTATTATTGCATGTTTTAGACAGTTTAACCATGGTGGTGTAATATTGTAAGCTCATGTGAAGCATCTTTTTGGCATTGTAAGGACTGCTTTTGTCTTCATACATGCTTAAGAAAGTTGTTTGTACAAATGTGACGTTTTGATAGTATTTCTTTTTTTAAAAAGAAGTGTCTTGTGAAAATCATCATCCAGGTAGGCCAGAAAAGATGTAGCCCGTGTGTGTCCAGAAAGAAGAATGTGATCAGCATAAATGAGTAAAATACATAAAATCCTTCCCTTGGCCATTGTGGTATGTATATCTTGTAAGAAGGAAGTGGTTAAAACTAGTCCTTGGATAACTTGTAGATGACTTCAGTTTGTGTGATTAGCAGTTAGAAAAGTCTCTCACCTTCATAGCAAGACAAAGGTTGTTTTTATGCCATTTAATCTGACATTCTGGGCTCTTCTACTCTCTCTAGGAAGCAAATCCGCATATGCACACACCACCACACAGTGCAGTCCAATACAGTTTTATTGACAAAGCTCCAGCAGTGTGTTTCACACTTCTTAATAGCTTGTCAGCTGTACCGCTACACCTCCTGACCGAGTCTGCAAGTGACTATGGAGTTCTCATTTTGCAGCCACATGCCGCCCTTAGCAGGGTACACCCTTGCAGATTTCCCCAAAGACCCCAGGAGACATACAGCCTGTCTGCAATCATGCACAGTATCACTCTGCTGCACCCCTCTTGGCCGTACTGCTTTAGGCATGGTTGTTGGCTACAAGTCTTTTCTTGAGGGGTTCCTAGACAGACATGGTGTAGATCCACACAGGCCTTTCATTGCTAGCTGCCCCATACGACACCCATTTGGCTTAGGGAAACAATCTCAGATGAAATGCACAGACAAGGGATCTGCAGAAGATACACAATTACAAAGTGTTGTCTCATCAGTAGGCTGCATAGCTGTATTCCTCTTGTCACCACAGCCAGCCCTGTCTTCTCACGTTTTGCCTCAGCAATGTGTCTTGAAGAGACAGTTAGAAAAACAATTTCAACCTTGAGAATCAATTTCTTGGCCTCACTTTTCTAGCTGTCAATTGACCCCGTTTCATAGGTTATTTCCAGCTGTGCTTCCTTTCACAAGTCCTGCCAGCTGGGACGTCCTAGGATCCTCAAGGTAAACAGCTGATTGCAATAGAGTGATAACTCAAGAGTTTGCCCAACTTAGACTTTCCAAAATTTACTTTGTAATTTACCAAGTCATAACATCTCCTGTCTTTGCCAGTGTAGACACAGCTCTGAATGCTAGCTGGGTTTTGATAAAAGCAGGGCAGAAATTTCAAGAAAGAAATCTTCCAACATCACCAAATCAGCAAAAAGCTACAAAGCTGCATCCTCCATCTTTCTATGGATGGAAGATGCTGGAACTACAGATAGAGAAAGACTGTACGAAAGACTCAGCCTGAAACACAGAACATCCCATCTGAACACCAGAAAACCCCTTTTTTTTTACAATAAGGCTGACTGAGCACCAGTGAAGATTGCCCCAAGAAGGTTGCAAGTTCTCCATCTACTCAAAAGCTGCCCACACATGATCCTAGGCAGCTGGCTCTGTGTGGCCCTTCTTGAAGGACCAGATGAATGTCAGGGGTCCCTTCTAACCTCAGCATTTCTGTGGTTCCATGAAGGGCAATTGTATCCCAAACTTGCTTCCTCTTAACAGAAGAAGTGGAATATTTCTTTTCAGTAGGAAAGCTCTTCCACTAGTAAGAAAAGAAACAGTGAGTTATCAGACTTAAACCGAAAGCTTGGAAGAAAATATGAGACAAACCATTTGCTGTAGGATGCGCATTATCTGGCTGTCCTTGGAATGCTCATAGCAGGCCGTAACCTTAGCAGGGAGACACTTGAGGATTACAGCACCTGTCAATACCCTTTTCTATTAAGCCTATTGAAGCTACGGTGTTTGGATAGTCCAGATAGTTGTTAACTCACTGAAGTTCTGAGTTAATTCTATTTGTTTGACTTATTGTATTGCTTAATGCTTTGTGCTTTTGCCACCTCTCAGGGCAGCTGATGTCACCAGCAGTTTGTGTGCTAATTGCTGAACATAAAAGATACCAATGCTAAAAGCACTGATTAAAGTACATTACAGACATTGTATACCGTGGTCAACTTTAGCTGTTCTTCATAACTGTAGAATATCTTCATAACTGTAGAATATCACTGAAATATTGGACAAGATGAAAAAGAAAAGTTCTGACCAAAGAACAAACTGGTGAAGTGTAATTGTGACAGTGTCCAAACCTTCCATGCTGCGTGACTGCATTTGCTCTCCTGCACTTGTCTTGCACTTTCAGTGGGATTTAAAATTCATTTCCAGCTGTGCTTTAAACTGGTATGAATTATTTCAGTGCACTGTTAAAGGGCTTTATTGCTTCATACGAGCAAATGCTGCATTTCTGTGGTGGATGAAGTTACTGTTCTGTAACTTGGGAATAATATTAAGAAATTTTGGCTGTATTAACAATAACAGTTCTGCTGCTCAAAGAGCTTACCGACACATTGTCTCATGCTTTCCCTCCACTTGTCCAAAACAAAAGATTGCTTAAAACTGCATTTGAGTTTTGTCAATGCATATGTCCTGGCTTGCACTTCACCTGTTGGTCTGGGGTCATCAGTTTGTGAATAGCATTGGACCAGAACAACATGTGACTGGAGCACTTAGCTGCTGTTCAGAAGTTGTGAAGGGAATGGAAATCTGAATGTATGTAGCTTTTAAAAAAGTCAAAAAGAACTCTAATTACACTAAGCTAAAGAATGCCTATTAAAAAAACCAACACAGTGGTTTTAGAGAAATTTTAATTTCCAGTGTACCTTTGTGCATCAAGCTTAGGATAAGTTATTGTGATGCTACAATGCACAGTGTTGTGAACACCAGTGCCGTTATTGTGCCAGCTCTAATAATGAGAATTTCATTGTTTGGGGAGAGCAGTCTCCTACACTCTAGACAAAAGTGTAATTACTTTTGAACGATGTGGAATGTGCTCAGTTTAATAGCATGGAGAATAGATTCACAAAGATTCAGATAAAGCTAGCTTGGAAGCCATATGTGCAGTGTGGCAGTATGAAATTGTTAGCAGGCACCATCATTACAACACACACACACATGCACACACAATTTCACAGTTTAAACTATAAACTGTTGTTTTTGTTATAGATAGACAGGCTTATCTGAACATGACTAGTTTAATTAAAGCAAAAATGGTGGTAAGTTTGCGTTTGTCTGTTTCCAACGTTCCTTCCTTCC